CCCCCCCCCCCCCCCCCCCCCCCCCCCCCCCCCCCCCCCGAAATGGGTGAGGGACTACCTTGCCATCCATTTTTATTTCTGTTCCACTTCTTGCTTATCAAACAAGGGTTAGGGTTTGCCTACACTAATAGTCTTGATCTGTACGTTTTCTTGCTTTTACTCTTCCTTTCCTTTTTCTCCTCTGCAAGGGCAGGCTGAGAGCTGGGGAGCTTATAGCTGACTTCCAATACCTGAAGGGGGCCTTCAGTACCTGAAGTTGGGGAGGGATATTTTATAAGGGCACGTAGGCAGAGAATGAGGAGAAATGACTTTAAACTAGAACAACACAGATTCAGACTTGATGTTAAGAAGAAATTCTTTACTGTGACGGTGGTGAGACACTAGAACAGACAGCCCAGGGTGGTTGTGGATGCCCTCTTCCTGGAGGTTTTGAAGGCCAGAGTGGATGGGGCTGTGAACAACCTGCCTACTGTCTACTACAATCCCTGTCTGCAGCAGGAGGGTGGGAACTAGATGATTTTACCCTTCCAATTCAAACCATTCCATGACTCAATGATTCTATGAAAATGAAACATTTTGCAGCACCTAAAAGGAAGTCAGATAACGTGCTTCTGAAACTTGTCAGGACAAGTATTTAAGAGTAACAGAAAAAAATAAAATCATGTCAAGTGTTTTGCTGCAATGGAAGCTCTAATGGGGCTGATTTTTTAAAAACAAACGAACAAAAAACCATAGCAGAAGAACTCCATACCTGCTTGTTCATTGGCAGCAAGCGTCTGTTCAAACTCAATCCTCAACATCTCATACTCTTTGCGGACTTGTGCCAGGGTGTCCTCTAACTGAATTACTTCTGTGCGTAGTTTCTTGTGAAGGCTGACCTCATCCCTCTGAGGAGTAAGAAGGAAACAGAACTTGGTGCTGTGACCTGAAAGTCTCTCTCACCTCATCAGCAAAGGTACAAGAACTGATGTATTACTGCCAGGAAGCCATTTCTTGAGCATACCTGGGGCCACTCAGATCAACAGCAACACTCAATGGGCGACAGTGTTCTCTAGTTTAATGGAGCAGAAGTACTACCTCAATTAGTTCCACCTGGCGCTGGTGCGTGGTACGAGTGCCATGAAGTAGAGTGCGGGCCTCATCAAGATGTGCCTTCAGCTGCAGACTCTCATTATACAGAACAGAAAACTGAGACTGCATACAGCGATATTCTGGAGTCTCCTTCACAGCTTCTTCCACTGCTCGTCGCAGCTCAACCTGGTCAGGATAAAAGACGTCACAGAAAGTAAAATCATCTCCTTGAGTTAAAGCTGCCAGAAGCAACTTTTCAGTGGGAACAGAACAAGTATCTTAAAAACAAGAAAGAAAACAGTGTAGAACTTTAATAGCATTGCTGAGAAATGGATGCAAGTGATGCTTAAGTTATCGACTAAAACAGTCTGTGCTTTCTCTCTGCTGATATATACAAAGCTGTTTCTCTTACAGAGTCACACAGTAAATTTTTTTTCATTTTCAGGTTTTGCAACAATTTACCTCAAATATATGAATTTGGGAAGCACAATAAATATCTTCAAATGATTTATTGCAAAATCACAAAGATATAAATGAATTAAGACAGAAACACAGAAAAATACAACTGTAAATTAGAAAAACTAAGTGCCAGTGAGAAACACATTAACAGAAAGCAAATGAGAGAAAGTACAGAATTTGAATTTTACTACAAAAAACTCAGGAAATAGGTGTGACTTGAAACAGATATATAGATACATACACACACAACATGCTCAACACTAATAAAAAGAAAGCTGTATGCCAAATGGAGCTCCTCTCAAAACAAGCTCACATGGATAAACAGTATTTACTAGTGCCTCAAGTCAATCTCTGGTGTCTCATCTCTGAAACTTAAATATCAGCTCAGATGTTCCCACTATCAGGCTAAGCTAAGATAAACAGAATCTAAATTTTATCTACAAATTTATCACAAATTTTAGTGTTACTGCCACTAAGATATAAGAAATTTGTATGTTGTTTCCTCTCTATCCATAAATAAACCACAAATAAAAGGTTTAAGTTAATCTATCCTTTCCAGAATCTAGAATCTTCTACTCAAGTTCCCTGGTTCAACTCACATGGGGAGGGAAGGTGAAAGAGGGGAACTAAATAACCAGGTACCATTAAAACATTCTAAAGGAATGGAACACAACTGAGAACAGGAAATAAAAAATTAGTACAATTCCCACTGATGACCACACGATGTCACCAATGCACTGAATTGCAAGCTTAAGTCGCACAAACACACTTATTTTGAGTACACAGCCCAACTATAAAACACACCGTTTGACTTGGCAAGAATCTTTAAAGAGTACTTAGTTCAATGTGCCCAGCATGGACAGGGACATAGAAACAGAGAATGGCTTGGACTGGGAGTTTCAAGCCCAACCACTTCCAACCTCCTGCCACCCACTAAATCAGGTTCCCCACAGCCTAGTACAACCAGACCTTGAATGTTTTCAGAAATGGGGCACTAACAGTTTCACTGTACAACTTGCTTCAGCCTTTAAGAAAAAAAATAAAGAAAGTCACATTTCTAAACTAAGAGGACAGCTGGTGTATAAGCATTACCCCTTGTCCTGTCAATACAGGCTCTGGTAAAAAAAAAAAAAAAAAAAAAAAAAAATTCTTCATTTTTCAATAAGCTCCCTTTGAATATTGAGAGGTTGCAATAAAGTACTCTGAAAGCCTTCTCTTCTCTAGCTCTGAACAATTCCTACTCTCAGCATTTCCTCAGAGGAAAGCAATCTGGTCATTTTCATGCCTCTCCTCTAGACCCAGCCTAAAAGCTTCTTGTCTTTAAGGGGCTCAGAACCCCAAAGCTGGATGCAGTTTTCCAAGCAGGGTGTCACAAGAGTGAAGCACAGAACAATCTCTCTCAGCCAGCTAGCCACACTTTTTATATGGCTCAGGATACAAAGAGCAAGTACAGAATAGAAGAATATTAATAAGGATTCCCAGAGATACAACACAGCATGACAGATGGGAACAGGCTACAGAAACGTCTTTATCTTCAGACAGGTACAGACATCTCACCTTGAGTTTTTCATTCTGTGTTGTTACTTCCTGAAGATCATGACGCAGTTCCTCTAACTCGTTGAGGCGGTTCCCAGCAAGCTCTTTATTCTCTTCCAGCTCTGCATTCATCTCCTCAAACTGCAAGGGATAAATCACTTTTAAGTTCCACTATTCATGTACAGTACTAACTGAATGATCATTTTTACAGTAAGGGCTAGATAATGCTACTGAATAGGACAGACCCTACTTCCCCCAGGCCTTTTTATACCAGGAAACTTATAAGGAAACACAATGGTTTGTCAAGGCTCCCCCAGGAGATTTGTAGTAAAGGAAGTGTTTAATTCTATAACAAACCAAGATCCTACACGCAAGCTGTCTTTGAATATATTCTTTCCCATGAACAAAACTGAGGTCCTGACTTTACCTTACGGGCATTAATGGTGATTGTGCCCCCATAGAGACTGCTTCCTGCTCCGTACACCTTGTAACCTTTGGAATTCACCTGCAAAAAGGCAACAAATTTCATAAATGCTTGATTAAATGCGTAAGTGTATAAAGAATATACAGCAGCACATTCAGAGTCACAGACTGTATACTAGAGATTCTAACTTCTCACAACGAAATGCGCTAGGAAACACATCACTCAAAACTAAACCCGTTTCTCTGGGTGGCGCTCACCCGCTCAAGAACATCTGCCAAGTGCCGGTTAAGTCGCTGCTCTCTCTTACGGATCTTGTCAATATTCCACTGAAGGTCATCAATCATAGTCTCCAGAACAGACACTCGAGACTCCGCTGTCTCCACTTTCTCTTGCAACTTGGAGAACTGCAGTCAAGAATATTTTGGTCACAATATTAGATAGAACCAACAATTTTTCAGAGTGCTAAGAATTTTTTTTTCTTCATATTCATGATACACTGCATTCACACTCTTTGCACACTTTGTGGTTGTCTTTTCCTATTCAGATAACTTATTCCAAGATTACTCTCTGAAGAAGAAAACAAGTCCGTCAGCACAGCTGAAATGTCTCTACACCAATGCATGCAGCGTGGGAAATAAGCAGATAGAAGCCATGGTGCAATTAGAAACGTATGGCCTAACTGCTGTCATGCAAATGCAGAAGGACAAATTGCACAACTAGAGTGTACAACAATTAAGAGCTGCAAGCTTTTTACAAGCAGGGAAGGTGTGGGGGAGTCGCCCTCTTTGTTAAGAAGTGGACAGACTGCAAAGCGATGGCTCTGAGAAACAGTCATAAACAGGTTGAGAGCTTGTGGGCTGACATTAGGGACCACTCCAACAAAGGACACCTGGTGGTCAGCATCTATTACAAACCACCTGATGAAGAGACTGCTGACAAAGCCTTACTGCTTCAGCTACAAGAAGCAGCATGCTCACAGGTTCTCATCCTGACTGGGGATTTCAACTATCCAGTTATCTACCCACAGTTGCTGGCAACTTGATGGGCTGCAAACAACTCAGCAGACTGCTTGAGTGTACTGAAAAAAACTTCCTGGTCCACGCATTGGGCAGACCAACAAGAAGAGAAGTATTACTGGACCTGGTGCTCATCAACACAGAAGAGATCATTAAAGGGCTTAAGACTGGAGTTCATGATCTCAAGGAATATGGGACTGACAAAAGCAAAGCCAGCACCCTGAAGTTCAGAAAAGTGAGTTTTCAGCTGTTTAAATAATTATTGGAGGAGATCTCTGGGAGGCTCCCCAGAGAATTTGTGGACACCCCATCCATGGAAGTGTTCAAAGCCCTGGGCAGCCTGATCTCACAGAATCACAGAACTGTAGGGGTTGGAAGGGACCTCCAGGGATCATCGAGTCCAACCCCCCTGCCAAAGCAGGTTCCCTACAGCAGGTCGCGCAGGTAGGCATCCGGGCAGGTCTGGAACATCTCCAGAGAAGGAGACTCCACCACCTCCCTGGGCAGCCTGTTCCAGTGCTCCATCACCTCACTGTAAAGAAGTTCTTGCGCACATTTGTGCAAGAACTTCCTCTACTATCCTATCACATGTGTGGCCACCCTGCACACATCAGAAAGGCGTAGAACTGGGTGACCTTTGAGTCCTTTTAAACCCAAACCCAAAATAAGAAAGAAGTTGGGAATATCAGGCAGAGTGCAACGGCAGCCACCTCACCTTATTCAAAGGTTTTTTTTTTTTTTTTGTTTTGTTTTTTTTTTTAATCGTTTAAATCCTGCTCTATAAACCACTTAAGTGCCTTCGGACAAACACTGAACCACACCAGCATTACCTCAAATGATTATGGATGCCTCGTAAAGCATTCCTTAATTCCTGAATTCCTTAAAGACTGTATTCATCCTACAATTAGGGCTGTAAAACTTTCACACACAACCCAGAAAAAAAAAAAAAAAAAAAAAAAGAGGTGAAATGACAGAACAGCAAGCGTCACAGACAGATTAGCCATCATCTTACCACCTTCTCTGCTTCATTTGCTTCTAAAAGTCATATCCATGTAACTTATTAACCATTATATTCTGTCCTTCATTATAGGACAATAGTCTAATCCATCCAAATTACACAGAAAAAAATCTACATACAACCATTCTTTCCATAACCTTTGTTCAGAATCTGAATTTCCATTCTTCTTCCTGCTGCCTTTCTGTAAGACAACAATCTGCTTTGCAAACAGATTATTCTAAATGGAAAATAATCAAGTACAGTCTCCAAAACAGATTTTTTTCTCTCTTCTTTTTATACCTCCTGAGACATTATTCGGTGCTTCTCCTGAAGAAGATCAGCCAGTTCCTGTAGACGTCCATTCTCATGTGAAAGGTAGGAATTAAGTTCCAAGACTGCTTCTTCCATCAGCGAAATATCTGAAACAACCAAAAGAAAAAGAAGCAAATAAAGAAGGTAGGTTCTATTCTTAAACAGTAAAAAGAAAAAGAGAAAAGTTAAAAGGAGATTCTGTTGTTAACTGCTTCTTATTACGGCTCTCCTTGGAGTAATATCTTGCACTTACCAAGCAAAAGGCTTTGCCATTTAACATACCATTCATTCCCATTTGTAACCATCTCTTAATGCCAGAGATCATTCCAATCACGTCAATATCAGCAACACAGAAAACACTCTTCTATTACACCAATATCCTACTGCAGGTCAAACTTACGTGCAAACCTATTTCAACACACGCTAATAAACCAAATGACAAATTGCAACTGAGTACAGTGTTGTGTGAGTACAGGATCACACGACAGCACTGGTATTACAGCAACAGTCTGTGACTGCCAGCTCAGCATGGTAGTATTTTACCACATCAGTGCTGCTTCTCAAAGCTCTTTTATCAAATCATGGAATGCTCTGGACATCAGGAAAAAAAACAAAGAGTTGGTAATTCTTCCTAAGTTTTCCCTCAGAAAAGATTAGAATTCTGCCCTGAAGCCAACAGTTTTTTTTCAGAGGTTAACCTGAGCATAAAACTACTACATCAATTTTTGGACTCTCATCATTTATGTTTCTTCAGCAAAATTGTCTTGAGTTCAAAATTAACAGTCACACTGGATACACAGTGATATTAGATGCTTCCCAGTGGGCTTAAAGCCCACAGAACACTGAGAAGACTGTTACTCTATGCCTTTTAATGAACTGCAAGTCAGAAATCCAGCGTCAGTTTGTGATATTGTTTCATTTCCTTACTGGTAAGCCTGATAAGGTTTAATCTGTAGACTCTCAGGTGAGGAAGCACACTACAGGCAGAAACAAACCTCTCCTCAGCCCCATGCTGTGGGCAGAACTCTCAGCATTCATATTCAAAGGCAATTATCACATTCTTCTGATACAAAGCCTTCACTGAAGGTTTTGATAATTAGGCATTAGAAGAGGTAAGCAAATTTATTTTGGAAACTAAATGAGCTTAAAGCCTTGTCATTCTTAATTCTTAGAATGCAAGATCACGTCTAAGATGGAATTAGACAGGAAGCCTTGAGCATCAGCCAGGGATCCACCACTTTGGTCCTACCTCCACTATTCAGCTTGTGTGACAGCACATCCACTTTCTCCTGCAGTTTGTCATACATTGTCACAATCTGGGCAACAGCACGCCGGGAGGACTCCACACGCTCTTGCAGCTGAGATTCTATCTCCTCACTAGTGCTGCTGGCTAAGGTTGCTAGGAAGGAAAAAGCTGGCTCCAACCCTTCACCTGGGAACAGAAAGAAGTGCAAAAAGTAAACATGCTCTGGCAGAAAAATAACGCTATTCTTCATAATCAGAAAGCCTGTGACAGCTTTTAGAAAAACAAGCCAGTAGCATCCACAGCTGAAATTCATCTTTTCCACTGTCTCCAGCCATGTGCCTCACCTCTTTCCCTTTCATCTTTTCGTTCCTGATTACTGTCTGAGTCTGGTTCAGGTTCTGGTACAACAAGTGCTTTTCTTTCAGACAGGAGGTCTCCAAGGCCTTGGTCCAGGTCAAAACGTTTAAGGATGATGCGGATATTTTCATCAAACTGAGTAACAAAGAAAGACAAGACAAAGGATGAATGTGCAGGTGAACAGAAGGCGCAAGGAGAACAGTATTCATAAAACACACACGTCCCTCCAAAAGCAATGCCTCCTATTTACTTCCACTGAAACTGCAACAGATAAAAAGAGCACAGTGGCATTATTTGATAGAGCAAATACTCAGCTACGCAACTCTATTTTTCAATACAGTCATCACTGTTAGCTATGCATCTTCACCAGCAACAAACTACAGTCTGCATGCCATATGCCATCCCAGTGGAGGTCTCTCACTGTTTCATAGCTGCTATGGACACACTTGCCTCATAAGCACTTCCATGTCAGATGCCATTCTGCCAGACTGCCCCTCTGCTGCCATCTGTCATGCAGCAACAAAACGGAATATCAAATTTTACTGCCATACCACGAGCATCTGCCTCTAACATTGTGGGCCAACAGAATGAAATAGGAGGCATTACTTCCAGAGCAGCCCTCGCATATTACTAACTTGATTCCAGTAACGGTTGATAATCAGCAGAGAGGCATCATCAGTGGCCTGCCGACGCTCCAGCTTCTCAATGTGTTCCCGCAGCTCATCCTCAATGGCTTGCCGCTGGTCAAGCATCTCTGCTAGTTTCCGGTTCTTGGTCTGTAGGGTCCGAATGTCCAACTCCTCCTGTGCAGAAGCACAAGTTCAGTGGCACGTTCCTCACAAACCAGTTCACTAGGCTCATCAAGGAAGAAAGACAATTTGGTTCCCATATAAGAAAAACCAAGAGCTTGAGAGGCAGTAAGCAAAAAAGACATACCGTTGAAGAAACGCCACCAAGCTTAATGGTCTCTACTGTGGTCCCCAAGTCTTCAACTCCTGCCTTTTTCTCTGGAGGTGCAGAAGGGCCAGGCTCTCCAGCTGCCCGTTTATTGCCAGCTCCAGACATGGTGGCTGAGACATACAGGCTCCCCACTTCTCCAAGTTCTGCCTGGTCACTGAAGAACACCATTAAAAGAAAACAACGACACCAACCTAATCACAGCCAATTCATTATGGTAATAAGATACACAACACAGTACAGAATAACTTCAGTGGCTTTGGAAAACATTGGTCAAGAGTTAAGTCTTAAAAGACGCCACTGGGTTTCGCACTGTGAACAGCAACTCATGGATGTCACCCTCCATGAGAACCACCAATCTGTGATGTTGAAATGGACACACCAATCAAGTTGCTCTTATTGTACCAACATTCAAAGTCAGTTAAAGCCAAGGGAAGCAATTCCTTGAAGACGAGCTCTCAGAGATTTTACAAAACAATATATATATATACATAGTGAACATATAGCTCTATATATATATATAGTGAACATATAGCTCTATATATATATATAGTGAACATATAGCTCTATATATATATATATATAGTGAACTGAGCAGTTCCTAATAAAGTTTTGCAGAACAGTTCTGTGTTTTATCAGAGATACAGACACATTAGAAGCATATTTATGACCAAATTAATGGAATTTTAAAAGTTCTGCACTACTAGTTACAGAATTGAGGCTAGGAAGGAGTTCTGCTGATGACCCCAACATTAGAAGCATACTTATGACCAAATTAATGGAATTTTAAAAGTTCTGCACTACTAGTTACAGAATTGAGGCTAGAAAGGAGTTCTGCTGATGACCCATTCAGTGCTCTCAAATAAATCAGATTCGGCAGGAGCAGGGCCAATGGCCTTCCTTAGCCAGATTTCCGCTATCTCCAGGGACTCCATAATCTCCTTGAGCAATCTGTTCCAGTGACTAACAAAAACTTTCACTACCAAAGTATTTTTTCTTACATTCTCTTGAATTTTCCTCACATATTAATTTGCTAAACCAATTAACGTTTCCTTGGAGGGTTCCCAAAACAAACACTGCAGCTAGTGCTGGAAAACAAAATATACCTTCATTATACCTAAGCAGCATTCTTGTTCCATATTCAAAGGTATTGTGCCAGTTTAAAACTCAGATAACCACCTCTGAGCTACATGAAGTCCAGAAAGCAATGAAATGCAGAGTATACAAATAAAGTTAATACTGTTCCGTTTTGATCCAGAGCGGCATTTACAGAACTATGGGTTACAGGCTGATCCAAACAGTTGTTACATGGTTGAGATCTACTGAAAATAATAAGGCTATTGCATTTTTAAGATACAGGTAATAACACTGATAGATAACACTGATAGCTTGGCCAAACCTTTTTTCAACAAGCGTTTTAGCGTGGCAACGCCTTTCACCCAATACAGAACAGCAACTCCTTCCTAAAGGAGTTAACGAAAAACCACAATAGTCTTCCATTCCTGTAACCTGCCTCGAAACATAAACACTAAACAAACCTCAAGAATTACCACAAATAACCAAAGAAAACTCCAATTTAACTGTTTTCTCTCTCTCAACAACTCCCTCCCACAACACGCACGGCTCCCCTGCTACCTCCGGGCATCCACAGGCCTACAGCCGCCCACCCCACGGTGCACCGCTCGCTGCCCCACGGGAACCGTCCCCGTCGCCACGGTCACTGCCGCGCAGAGCCGCCCGCCCACCCTCACGTACTTCGCCCGGCGCAGCCTGACCTAGTCCAGCCGCTGAGCAGCCCGGCCACCCTCACCCACCCTAAAACAGCCCACCGACTCCTACCGCCTTTCCTCAGGCCCTCCGGAAACCAAATACGCGCACGGGCCAATCCTAAACGCGGCTGAAGCAGCGGTGTTCAGCACCTCCCTTAGAGGCGGCCGCCCCTTCCGGCGGCCATTTCGCCCTCACTTGTTATGGACGCTTCGGTGGCTGCCGCTTGCCCTCGCCTAACATGGCCGCCGTTGCCATGGTGTTGCAAACGGCGCCTGAACGCGGCGCCCTTGCCCTTATGGAAAATGGCCGCCGCCGAGTAGGCGGCTCTCTTGCCCTTAAGAAATATGGCGGCCGAGCACCTGGTGATGTGGAGGTGCCGCTTGCCCAAAACATCCCCTATCCCCCATGGCAGCCCTGTGCTCCTGCTGGCAGTATGCCCTTATAGCTCTCCTGAGGAAAAGCAATAAATAAGCCGAAATTGCGACCCCCCAGCTGGAGCTGGAGACTGAGGAGATGCTGCTTGGTGGCAGGGTGCTTAAAGTACCACCTTCATGACTACCCATCTCTGCAGAACATGAAAAGCATCAAACAGAAAACCCCTCCCAGGTGGCATCAGGCTGATGACAGTCCTATCTCAATGCTTACAGGAAGTTTGTGGCCTTCAGGAACTGAGTTCTTGTTTTACCATCTCCCCAGCAGCTGTCTTTGCTTCAGATACCAAAGATGTCAAAATTGTACACAGAACTACACCCAAGAGTGATAAGCTACCAGGGAGAATATTTCAGGCTCCACAGATTTTGCTTTATTCTTATTTTTGTTCCACTACAGATATTTTTTCCTCTGGTGCTGATCCTATGGGGATTTCAAACATTCACAGCTTTACAGAAGAACTGTAATTGAAACACAGGTAATCACAAACTTATATTTCACTTTGTCTCTTACCTCTATACACCTTGGTGTTTTCTTTGTAGGAAAAGAGAAAACTATTTCCGTCATCAATTACCATGTTTTAGATACACATTCTTTCCTCTGGGCAACTAAAAACACTTGCTCATCTCCTTCAGAAGAAATGCACTATTTTCCTTTGTGATGTTTACTGCCTAACTCCTTGTAAACAGTTAGGGGCAGGCAGTAGGCAGTACAGGACAGCAACTGTGGATGAGAATGCAGCTTGTAGGCTTTGACCATCCTTATCTAGATGCAATGTCCCTATTCACTGCAGGGAAGTGGGACTAGATGACCCTTACAGGTACTGCCAACTCAAATGATTCTATGATTCTGTAATGCAAGCTTAAGTATGTGTGCTAGGGGGAGAAAAGAGGCATTTAATACATGAGAAAGTTCTGTAAAGAAACTATGAAAGTTGTACATTTTAAGAGGAACTGTACTGCAGTTTTAAGAGAATGTACTGCAGCAATGCATCAACTTCTACAGTCTGTTAGCAATGTCAGAAGTAGAACTGCTTCTTCATGAAACAAGCAGTTCAGCAACAGTCTTTCCTTTGCAATTTCTGAAAGAAAATTGAGCACGTACTTCATTCAAAACTACAGCTTCTTAAGAATTTTAATGACTAGGGCAGATATCTTCTTGGAAAGTGTGTGCACTTGCTTTTGTATGTGAAGAGAGAAGGCTAATATGAGGAAACACATCAGATATCCAGAGATTAAATGAAAAAAATAAACCTATCCAAGGAATAGCTTACAGAGGACAATTCCAGGTGCTAACTGTACTCTGGGACTGTGACCACAAAACGGCTCTCAGAGTGACTTATTCTCCGTGTGTAAACATGAGCTGCAGTCCTGCAACCATAGTTGTGCTGATGATCCCCAACCCTGTTGGCAGTTAATCTCTATTACAAGTCAGAAGGACCTACGAAGTCTCAATATTGGCTCTCCCTCAAGTTGCAAAAGCAGCAACATATGCCAAAATTTGTTATGAAAGTCTTACATATTGGCTTGAAATTCTTCTTTCTGCCAAGATACAGAGGCACAGTGTTATGAACTATTCAGTCATCATCTAGGTACATCTGGGCAGGCACTATACAGCTAGGTGGTGAAATGTGGAAGTGTGGCACACCCAGGTCTCTAACTGTAAGATCTTTCATCCAGCAGAACTGTGCTGCTTCTGGGACAAAAAGGCCATATGGAAGGCAGTATGATTGCTGATCTTGATAAAACCTGTTAGAGAAACTGTCTTAGACAATGGCTAGCAGAAGGCTTTGCCCTAGAGCTTCTATGCCCTGGAATCTATTGAGGGAACAGGAGAAGACAGATTTATCCCTAAGACAGAACAGGAAAGCTTCAGCCAGACAGTCCCTGATGCCATCAGACAGATAGAGAAGGGGATTGCAAGTTGCAAACACCAGGAAATAGGCCAGAAAAAGGACTTCAGGACTTCACTAAGATGCAGCTAGCTTAAGGTAATAAGGTGGAAAAAATCATCTTAAGGCAACCACTGTAAAACAGTAAAGCAGAGCAGTATGCAGGCACAGCTGATTAATTGACCTAAGAGAGCTAACCTGGGGCCTAAATTAAATGAGCAAAGTCCTTGCTATAAATTATTATTTGAGAGGAAAAAAAAAATCTCTTTTATTGTCAGCACAGATTAGCATTTCATTTGCTAGGTTGCAAACAGGAAGCACTGAAGTTACTTACCCAGAGACAGTTACCACTGAAGAGTGGTATGAAACATAACTCTTAGTGTGTCCTGTGGTTGCACCTGCTCACAGCCTGCTACACTGGGTCATGTTCTCTCAGGAAGTTATCCTACAATGTACAGCTCTAGAACTACAGTACTTATGATACATCTAGGAAGGGAGATACAAATTATATTTTACTTGATTAAGGAATAAAATTCCATTGTCATCTGACTCAAACTGATCTGGGCAGTAATTATACACTGTACAGAAATCCTTACTTATTTTTGCCTTGCAGGCATTTTACATCCTTAATTGTCTCGCTCCTGCAGAGAAACACTTGATGCTGTAAGCTAAGTAGAGAATGCGAGTATGAATACAGGAGGTCATTAGATGGCTGTATTTTATGAAATAATGAGTTTTATGAAACATGTCTTACATAATTCTTTCTCCTGTTTAGTAACCCATAAGAATGGCACTTCATGCATATTTCAGGCATTAGCAATGTATATGACAACTTCTACACAATAGCAGTAACTTCTACACAGTTCAGTAAGTAACAAATGTGATATCCTACAGTAACCCAAATTTTTGCTCACACCAGCAGTGCCTGAAGTACCAGACAACCCTAGAGCTACAGGAGGATAATTGCTAGAACTGGCCAATTAAAAGGGAAGACCACACAGAAGAGAAGTGCACATGCTTGCTCTCTTGACCCAAAACATCCTGGCAGGCAGTCCGAAGAAAGAAGAAATGGAAGGCATCAGTAAGTAAGGCAAAGTGTGCACTCAACAGGGATTAGCACCTGCTCATATAATTGTTTGAATTGGAAGGAACCCTTAAAGGCCACCTAGTCCAACTCCCCTGCAATGAACAGGGACACATTCAACTCCATCGGGGTGCTCAAGGCCTGGTCCAGTCTGGCCTTGAATGCCTCCAGGGGTGAGACATCAACGAGCTCTCTGCATACAGCTGGTTTCTGGGCTGCAAGGGCACATTTATGGTCACATTCTCCTTACCATCCACCAGTATTCCAAGTCCTTTTCACCAGGGCTTGCTTAATCCTTTTGTTCCCCAGCTAGTACTGATAGTGGGGGTAGCCACAACCCAGATGCAAGACCTTGCCATTGGATTTACTGAATCTTATGAGATTCTCTAGGACCCACTGCTCAGCCTGTTTAGGTCTCTCTGAATATCTCTGAGCATCCTGTCCTTTGGATGTGTCAGCTACACTGCACAGCTTGATGTCCCCACAAAATTGGTGAGGGTACACACACAGTTGCCTCGTTATCTCACTGCCTAGTTGCAGCAATGATAGAGAGAGATGAAAAAGCCCAGCAAATGGAGCAGGAGCTTGAGTATTTTCTTTCTGTTTTTGTTTCTAATCAGCTTAACTCCGTAATTTGCAGTCTGTATATGGAGAAATCCTGTGCACATAAGATTTTGGAAACTGTTATGAGCCATTTCCCCAACTTAAACATCTGTTTACTACCAGTACTAACAAATGTGCTTATATTTTTAAGAGCTGATATTAAAAAATTTGTTGGATCTTGGGGAGTTCTACATGTTGTCCTGTAAAATTGGGAAAATAGGATGTGTCTGCAAATACTCATTCCTATCAGCAGAGAAATTTACAAAATAAGTTCTAGAAAAAAACACTCAGCTTCATGCTGAGTTCTGGTTAATATAGCAGGTATAATTCTGGACCTCAAAGAGACACTCATGTCTCATTCATGGACTTTTCAATCACAGTTCAAGTAAGGCTTGTACCTCTAGCTGGGTTTCTAAGACTTGTCTGAACATTCAAGAAAATTTATGTGTATTAATTAAAAATGTGTACAAAGGTGAACCATTTAGTCTTTGTTACATCTTACAGAGATGCTATCATTTAGAGGGAAAAAAGCTTAAATTTTATTTATTTTACTTCCATAAAACCATTCATCTAAACTGAATTAAAACTACTTCAATTTCAAATGATGCTCTTTGTCAGAGATTTAATGCAGTGTAAAAATAGTCATCATTTGATACAGTTTTCCTGACAGTCTTTGTATGGTTAAAACCACACTCCAGTGTTACTCAGATTATTTCACCCCAGCAGCAGAACTCTAGTTCCAGAAGTGCACACCTGGAAATTTGCCATTGAATAGAACATCAGCAATTATCTGTGTTCCACACTTCTCACATAGGCATAGAATTTTTGTGTGCCCAGCAACCATGCAAAATAACTTTGATTCCCTTTTGCAAGAAGAAATTAAAGTCTTTCCAGCAGTCCAGGGGAATAGTTCTTGTTTAGAAATTGTCTGTTTGGAAACCTTGTGTCTTGTCAATTTACCCCATTCCAGTTTTTAGCATTGCAAAATGTTCAGTTTTAGACTGTTCTATGTTGCAAAACACAGCAATTAACTGAAAGCCCATGTATTCCAACAGCAGTTGGAGAGCCACGTGTCTATTTCTTAACTGACAACTTTGTGTCTTGTGGACTGCAGGACTCAAAATGCTGGAGCTTGGCAGCCAAGTTATTGGGCCATAGAGCATTACAATTAAGCTGGTAAGATACATCCATTTCTCTACAAGCGATCATGCTTGTAGTCCTGAAATCTTGCCATCATTTAACACCTTGTGGTGTTGCCTCCCATCAGTATTTTGCTGTAAATAGCCCCAATTGGTGATTTGATCAGAGAAGCAAAGAAAGCACAGAAAAGCTGTGTGTGTGTGTGACATGCAGTAGTCTCTGAAAAGAGCTGGGATTGCAGTTAGCAATAACTGTGTTCCTGTCATCTTCAGATATGTAGAGTGTAGGTAGAAGAAACAGTAACTAGCAGTAAAAACAGTAAATAACAGTAAACAGTAAATTCATATGCAAGATGAATTAGTTATAGAAATAAGACTGAAATGCAATTATGTACAGCAGATCTCAGGCCTGGGAAGTGTATGAAGAATACTTAGTCCTTAATGGATAACTGAATGTACAGACTCCAGTGAAAAGAATCATACAATCATTTGAGATGGAAGGGGCCCTCAGAAGCCATCTAGTCCAACTCCCCTGCAATGAGTAGAGACAGCTACAGCTCCATCAGGTGCTCAGAGCCCTGTCTAGCCTGGCCTTGAGTATCTTCAGGGATGCGGCATCCACCACCTTTCTGGACAACCTGTGCCAGAGCCTCATCACCCTTATTTTGAAAGCTTTACCCTTACATTCAAAAGATCAAAAGATTCCAGGCTTTTCAGAAAATGTTCGTGTGCCCTGGACAGCAAAGGCAGCTAATTTGTCTGCTTTGCAGCTACATTTAATCTCACCACTATTGTCTAAAGTCAAACACAAAAGCTCTCACATATAAGCTCACAGTTTCTGGTGTACAATAGGCTATGGTGGACTGTGAAAAGTTTCTGTTTCCCTAGAGATCAACACTAACTCTAAAAGAAAACCAGAGAAAGCTAGTGTACATTATTCAGTTTTCATCGGTATTCATCAAATTTCTATTAAAAACTGCCAAAAGAAATGTCTGCTGCTTCTTACAAAGCAGACTACAAGCAGGAACTACTACTTGATTTACCTTGTGGATTTTTTTTTTAAGGAGAAAAAAAAAAATAAAAAAATTTAGCTGTTGAATTGAATAGCAGATAAGATAACTAGTCAGGAGGTACAGGAATAACCAGGTAATTATTGTCACCTGTTAGCTAAATGTAAATGAGTAATGTAGTCATTGCACCACAGAACTTCACCCCTTGTGCAGCCAACCAGGTTATACACATACTGGCACAACATGTTATGTTAAACATACTGTTCATTCCTCTGGCTGGAATGCACTTTCTTTGGATTTTATCCCGAGGACATTAGGGTTACAAAATCTTTCTTCCTTTCTTTCAGTCTGCCTGTCTTTTCCTGGCCTTTCACAGCTACCTGTGTGACCCTAATACATTTTGAATGTTTGTTAAGTTTCATTGCATCTGGTTGAAGGAGGTCAGTTTCACATGTAAGTGTGCTGTTGCTTTAGACTTCATGCTATCTTGTGCAGAGCAGTGACCCACAACCCAGGAGTGGGGCCACAGGGAAGATGAGACAAGTACTACAGGTGTTTTTGAAAGAGATGCCCAGACACAAATGACACAGATTCATCAGAGAACAGGGTTCTCAGTTCAGCTGCCTCTACGACCAGGAATTTCTGCTCTGCTGTTTGCTGGGAGTGCTGAGCACATTGTGCAAGCATCTGGACACCACCCTGTTAGCTTATCCAGCTGCTAACAAGCATGTTTTATAAAAAGCAAGAGCTGTACCTGATCTCAAGCAAACTACAAAAAATAACTACTTCCACTTGCACAAAATGTTTGATGCTGTGAGTGGCCAGTTGCATGGCATGGAAAAGATTATTTTAACAGAAAATTCTCTTACCTCCGTGACTGCTCTGAACTTCCCCTGCTTGGACCCAGTTCTCACCACATGTTTTGTTTTTGTTTTTTTTTTTTCTCTTTTCCTGGTTATAACTTCAAAGGATTGTCCTGCTATTATGAATAAAGATGAATAACTTCAGAAGGGCATCTCAGGTTGCATATAAATTACTGCATGCTCTGTCATGTTCCCAAACATTCATTTCTGCTCTCCAAGCCCTGCCTGCCCTGCAAGGCTGACATAATCATTTGGTGGGGTGGGCTGAAAGTGATCTGGAAAGAAATAATCCATCATAAGAAAAGGTTTATTTTTCAGCCAGATCAGCCTCTCTCATGCCAGCACACAGCGGGGAACAGAGCACTGTGATGGCAACAAGCAGTCAGGGATGGCAGATGCGCTGCTGCCCTAGAATTACCTGTGACTTTTCTCCCTTCATCTTTAAAGTGTAATAGGAGTTGTTTCATAGGAGTAAGTGTTGAAGAGTGACTGTCAAGCACTCGATGAGAAGCAATCAGCTGTGTCAACTAGCATCAGAGAGGACTATAAAGAAAGGCTTTATACAAAAATACAATTACCCAAACTTCCATCCCCCAGAGAAGGCCTTGTGTCCCATTCTTATTAACTTACTGCTACCAAACTGTTCTGGCATCTGAAACCCCACCCGAATTAACACTGGGTGCACTACAATGTGTGTTTTGACTGATGTCACTCAACAGCTCTCCCACACACATACTGTCACAGGAGGGAGCAGAAATATTTTGTGTTTCTCACAAATTTTGCAATTCTAATCCAGGGGAAAAGACACTAACAGACCTCTTATGAACATATAATCTCTTTTCTACCCCTCTTCCTCTGTTCTGAGCTAGGATCTATAATGTTTCAAGAGCATCAGTATTTGGAGGTCTGAGGACATGTAAGAGGAAGGTGGAGTATGAATCACTGTCATTCAAAATTGGCAGGAAAAGTGAGAGGTGGCGGAAAATAAAGGATTCTGGGAAACAAATCACTTGAAAACCAAGCAAACAAACAAACAAACTATGCTTTCTTCTGTGAGCATCGCCGTACCTCTGGCTTTTTGCCCCTTCATCCAAATTGTCTGCCAGTGACACGAAGTGAGAGCCCAAAGGCTAACTTTCTTCATAATGTTTACCAGAGGAAACAGTGTAAGTTGTAAAGTTAAAATTATAACAAAACATAAAGCCATAGAATCATTAAGGTTTAGGATCATCTATTCTAACCATTAGCTGACCCTCACCATGCTCACTAACTGCGCCCCTCAGTGCCACACCTCTACAGTTCTTGAACAGCTCCTGGGACTCTCCTTGCTGACTCCACCACCTCCCTGGGCAGCCTGTTCCAGTGCCTGACTACTCTTCCAAGGAAGAAATGTTTCCTGATATTCAAACTGACCCTCCACTGGTGCAACATGAGCCACTGCTACCCAGGAGCAGAGGTCAACCCCCTCCTCACCACAACCTCCTTTCAAGGAGGTGTAGAGGACAATTAAATCTCCCAGGAGCCCCCCAGACCACACAACCCCAGTTTCCTCAGCCGCTCCCCATCACGCTTGTGTCCCAGACCCCTCGCAGTTCCACTGCCCTCTGAATGCACTCCAGAGTTTCCATGTAGCGAGGCGCCCAGAACTGAACGCGCTCAACGTGTCAGCTCACCAGCGCCACACGTGCTGGAGCTTTCTGCCCATAGCATCCAGCTTTGGCAAAGTTCTGCCTGTGCCTAACAGGACATACTGTTGTGCTGATAGTGCAATTTTATTTTAGTATTTTCATTTCGCATTTGTTCAAGCAGTAAGAGAGGCCACAGCCTGCCATCATTCAGTCCAAATAGATGCGCTTTTTTATTTTTTGCCTTTTTTTTTTTTTTTTTCCCCTGGAGATGTAGGCACAAAGTGATGGAGTCTGTGAGTCTGTGCAAAAGGCAACTTTCTCAATGGCACACCTCAGCTAGCCGCGGTGAGGAGTAATCGGCAGAACGAAGGCTTAAGGCGGCACTGCGGGAAGGTGCGTGGGCAGCAGGGGAGCTCAGGGGGCACAGCGGAGCGGCGCGGGGCGAGGCACTCCTGCGCTGCGCTGGGGCGGCCGCTGCCCCCACGCACTGCGGCCCCCGCCGGGCTGCGCGGGGCGGACCCCGCGCAGGGCGGGCAGCGCGGCTTCGACAGCGGGGAGAGGAACGGCGCTGCGCAGCCCAGCATAGGTACCCGGGTAGCGCCCAGATCCTGGCGAAGGACTGCACAGCTTCGGCACCGGGCGGGGTAACGCTTCGCTGCTCCTCGGGCACCGCTGGGTGATCTCCATCCGCTCTCCGCCTCCCCTCTCGTTTTCTACTCCCGCACGCTCCTTGCACTCTTTCGGATCATTTAATCTCACCTTCACGGCCCGGAAGGGAGGGAGCGGAGAGGGAGGGGAAAGAAAAGAGTGATTTTGGGGAGCGAAGGGAGCAGCGAACGGAGCGGAGCGGGGCCGGACAGAAGGGACAGCGCTGCCCTGTGGAGCGCACGGCGGGGGGACGGGGCGCGGCCGGACCTTGAGATGGTGCTTCCCATGGTGAATGAGAACGGTAACGGGGGAAAACGGGAACCTGAAAAAAAGAAGCAGCTTCCTTCCTTTCTTCCTGCGATCGGTGCCGCCCTCAGCCTGAGGGCGGCGGGGGCTCGGCGCGGGGAGAGGTCCTGTCCGGTCCGCCCCGAGGGGGCAGAGCCGCTACCCCGGGGCGCTCCCGAAGGGCGGGGGGAACCTCGGCAGTGCAGGGGCTGAAGTCACCAGCGTGAGTCTGGGGAGGAAGCTGCAGCCCGGCTGCTGGTGCTGCTCAACGTAACGAGAGACAGGCTTTCTTCTTGCTTCTTGCATTCACTCTGCTGCTGAGAAAACCTCTGTGTATGCAGTGATGGGCTGCCATAAGGACACAGCAGGTTAAGCTGGCGTAGGCAAGGGCATAAAGACTGGGAAAGCTGCACGTGTGAAATCTGCTGCTTTCAATACTAACCATATCCCAGACTGTTTCTCAGCTACTGCATTTATCCCATGTATTTTTTCCCCTGGGGTTCCCCAGTGTCATCCAGAACCAGAACTCACTCTCACTGCTCTTTTCAGACGTGGGAGAGAAGGAGGAAGCCTCCAAATCCCTCATGGTACAGCTGCATCATTGACCCCAACAGGTAATGCCCCAGGAGAAGTGCTGCTTATAGCCAAGCAGTTCTGCTGTGGTCAGAATCAGAGCGTTGCAGCTGCCACGTGGTACAGTTCTGTGGTTTTATTGTTACACAGAAGTGTAACAGTACTCCAACATTCCTCACAGGAAACCTGCAGCTTTAACAGCCAAGGCCTTTGCTCGCAAAAGCCATGTCCTGTTTCCCTATTGCTGTGTTCTACTCTTTGCATTCTTAGTGAGCAGCAGCAAGGCTGCACCACTCTCTAAGCTGAGCAGCCCACACCACACCCATTCCCTTTACCCTGCAACGTCCCTTGCGCTGCAGATCCTGGGTTCTCAGGGTGCTGACCAAAGTATGCCACATTTAGCAGCTGCTTTTCCAGTATCTACCTCGGATTACTTACCTGTGTGAGTTGCCAGTACGATTAAACCATAACATGCCATCATGACGTCCAAACCAGACAGATCTGGGAAAAATGGCCTCCCTCCTACCTTTTATGTTCGTAGGCTGAGGATCCATTACAGTGGAAGTTGTCTCTTGCTGTGTTGGTTTCAGTATCTTGCAGTCAGCTCTTATTTTAGCAGAGCATCGTGACACAAAGCTGTAAAATACAAATGATCTGCAGCACCTCCAGTGAGGCAGAGTTCTTGACTTTGAGCTTCTGAGAGCAGACAGCAAAGGGCAATAGCTGATGCCATTGTTAGCAGCACCTTTGTCTAATACCACTTCTTTTTACCAAATAGGGATGCAAACTTGATAATAAAGCAGAAGTGAATGCAAATAAAAATCTGCTGCTCAGATTTTGGAGGGCTTCAAGCAGATTGCTGTGAATATATGCACCCGTTTTTATACAAAGCATTATCAAATTCTGTTACATTTGTGTCTGTGTGTTTACTTCAGGCACAGAAAAAAAAAAAAAGATTAAAAAAGTAGATTAAGAAAGGTACGGATTGCATAAACAATGAAAAAAGTCACATCAACCTTCACTGTCATCTTCTAAAAGACAGCTCTTCGCAAAGCTGCTTGCCTTGAATCTCTGTGTGGAGCTATTATTTCATAGAACTCTCTTCTCCAAGCTGCTTTTCACTCCCACTTGATCTTAACACTGACAGTACTGCTTGATGGCAGTGGAGGAAAACATCACTTTCCTGTGGCTTTGCACAGCAGGGAGCAGCCAGCTGAAAGCCAGCAGGGACTGTGAATGTGAATGGTACCCTTTGACTCTGTGTGGAAAAGGAAGATGGAAGGTAAAGAGAAGATGAGGAAATAACTGCAGTTGAAATACATTCAGTTTACAGCCTGTTTTAATAGTGGCATCTTTTTACTTCATTAATTCAAGGAGAGGGGAGAAAGTGTCTTGCAGCATCCCCATACTTTGCTTGGTAGTTCAGTACCTTCCAAACCGTGGTCCCTGGATTTCCAAGGATTCATGAATGATTTGTTAACTGTAGTTTGAGGAGAAGAATAAGCTAACCTATTGGAATGCATTCAAGATGGAATTCTACAGTTTCTGGGTTTTCCTAACAGGGTTATAAACTGCTGCTTTCTGAACAGGCTGTACAGGAATGTGGTGGAGTCACCGTCCCCTGAGGTGTTTGAGAACCCTGGCGATGTGACATCTAGGGATATAGGTTAGTGGGCATGGTTGTGATGGGCTGGTGGTTGGACTTGGTGATCTTGGAGGACTTTTCCAACTTTAATGATTCTATGATTGTATGATTCTGTATATCTGTGTATTGTCATTCTTTTAGAAATGCTTAAATTCTAACTCCTTTGTCAGGAAAAGTTGAGGAATGGCAGGTGAAAACAGCCTGCTGCTCCCTAGATTTCTGCCTCTTACCACATGTAACTGCCCCAGGACACCATGTCCAAACCTCCTTTACTTCCCCAGCCACCTCTCTTACAGTTCTAGCTATCACCAACCTGTTACACCATAGCAATATTATGCCTTTGGTACATAGATCATCAAACCTGGAAGAACTGAGAAATCCTGTGCATCAGTGACAACCATGGTCCTGCCATAGCCCTGAGCTTTTTCAGTGAAACTGTAACAAAACAGCCTGGTTTATTTGACATCCATGGTGTCACAGGAAACAAGAGCAAACAGGTCCTTTAGCGACTGCCATAGCAAATGGCTGCTTCATTATGAATTTGACTGTGTGCTCTACTGGCCATGAGTGAATCTGGCCAACTATTGGCACTATCTGGTTCCAGGTTTGCCTAGAAACAAAATAATGGCAGCTGTCATAAGCAGTGCTTGAAACAGAAGTTGTGGGAGATGTATTTGCACCTGTTAATAAAGTATAGTCTAAGAATAACCGCTGAGCTCCTTCCATTAACATTCTGAATGTCAGAATGATTTTTCTTTCCTAGGGAGCCTAACTCCTACTGTTATATGTAAATGTAATGGTCAGATTACACTGACCTTCTACACTTGCCTTCTACATGATGCTGCTGTTTTCATTGTAAGCCTGAGTACATTGTGGAAACATTATCTGGCATCTCACTTGCTCAAAATTGTCAGAAAACAGGAAAGGAATTGTTGTACCATGTAAATGAGAAAAGCTGGCCATCTGGTCCAACTGTACCCATCATGGTGGAAACCTCACTCTACAGAACAGTGAGCTGGCAGCACGCATGTATGAAACAGAATGATATTTCTGTGTCTCTTGACAACTTTGTAATGCTTGAATCAGCTTCCCTCAGGCTCCAGAAGGACTGGTGCACTACCACCACCACCACCACCTTCAGGACAAAGCTCTTGTCTCCTCCAGAGGAAGTCAGTCTGGACAGAGACCTGGTCCTGAGGCTGCAGCTTGGCTGTACAAAGCCAAGTTGGGGGGCAGTGGTGCTTTTCTGCTCCAGGTTTAAATTTGGGATGCTAATGCAGGAAGAACAAAAAGTCAAACTTACAGTTTGGTGTGAACACATCTGCTGACACCACGGAGGCTCTTTGCTGTCACAGCATGCCTTCCCAGGACTTTTTCCAAGAGCCCATCTCTGTTTCACACAGTGAAGACCTTATGGCCTCTGTGCCTCATTATGAACAAGGCAGTGGAGGATGGAGACGCCTCTCTTGAGTCAGCAGTCCAGGAGCCTCCTAGAATCTGGCAGCGATGACACGTGAGAGGCTTTGCTCCAGGAATACTTGCCCTCAGAACACCTCTCTGCAGAGGAGTTGGGAGCAGACAGAAAATCAGCTTTAAAGCCCTGGCACAGGTGACAGTATTCTGCATCTCAGAAAGGAAGTTATGTATTTTACTGCTTTTCCTCAATGTATGCAGAGGTAACTTTATCCTAATCAGTGCAACTCAGCCAATTAATTAGAGGCTAATGAAGACAGAGATGTGGATTTGGATATGGTCCAGGTGTTCCCAGAGGGAATCTGCACCAAGATCTAAGTAAAGAAAAAAGACGAAGCTTTGTATTGTACTCACACGGCTTCCAAGCATGTCTAAGCAATTGCTCAGTTCTGCATAGAGCCGCTGTCGAAATGGTCTCCACTGCTAGTTATGAGGTGACTGATAAGTAGTTATTATCCATGATTCATGCAATTGCCTTTTAAAATACTATAAAATTCAACTCTAATTCATTCTTTTCACCTTAAACTTCACAGTCAGAAATGGTGAATGAATACTCAGAAGAGAATAGAATCTCCAAGATGGGAGAAAAACGAATTGTTGCTACATTACCAACAGCTTCTGAAAACAGAGTAGCTTCAGTAAGGCCAGAACAATCCTGATGTCTTGAAAACAGCCCAGTGAGAAGCTCTGCTCTCAAGTTCTGCTTGTGAGATCAATTTTTATCTCTGTAAAAGCAAGAGCTCTCGGTTCTCAGTGCTAACAGACATAAAGTGGAGAGGTGGCAAATGTCCCCCACCTTTCCTAAAATTCTCATAATGGTTTAGGCTGGAAAAGACCCCTAAGATCACCAATGACAACCATCAGTGCACCTCCACCATGCCCACTGAGCTGTGTCCCTCAGAGCCACATGCACGCATTTCTGTAACGCCTCCAGAGACAGTGACTATGGAACCCCCCTTGATACAGCCGTTGTTAGGCTCCGTGGTTCTTCTGGTACCCAGAAAAAGCAGCCCTTTTTCCTCTGGCAGTGAGATAGCATTCAGCACGGCAGCCAGGCTAAGCCAGAAACGCTGGCCAATTTGCAGTGTGCTCAATTTTGAGCTCCCAAAGGGCCAGGGACGGCACGGTGCTGTGAGCGCGGAGCCCCGCAGGGGGAGCCATGGCACACGCCCGCAGCCGGAATCCGGCTGGTACTGCCGGGGCTGCGGGAGCGGGGAGGCTGTGATTCCTGCAGTGATGCTGTGATTCCTGCAGTGAGGCTGTGCCCTAGCGTCGGCCTCTCCAGTGCTGTACCGCAGAAGTGGTTCCCACTGCTCACCGGTCAGCACTTTGGTGAAGGTTATTAATTCTTGAATGGATAACCCAGGACTTGCAGAGCTTGCTGTGGCCTCACGATGCTTGCAGCTCAGAACTCCATCATAGCTAGCTGCAGATAAAAGTTGGTTTCTTACTACCTGGGGATTAATCTACCTTCTAGCTCTTCCTCAGCTCCTTGTATTTTCCCATTGTTTTCCTCACTTTCACAGTGGGAGCGTGATTCAATCACAGCAACAACAGTCCTGCTCACTTCACAAAGAGGCTCATAAGTACACCATTGTGAGTTGGGAGTTGTAGAATGATTGCACATTTGTGTGTTCCCATTGTGTTTGTGACCGGTTCGCAGAAAATGAGAAGGGGGAAAGCCCTGAGTTTTGGATGAATGAGTGTGTTCAAAGGTGAGATCTTTACATCTGATGAATTTCAGGTCTTCATACTGTGAACCTCAGTGGCTTTGATCTGGTGGCTGAAATGCAGCCATCACCTTCAAAGCCTTTACAAGGTCACTGATGCAATAGTGTCTGTGAAACAAGGTTGTGCAATAAGGAAAAAAATAATAAAAGAAAGCTATGGGAACACAGTGCAAATTCTCATGCATCAGTGTGCGAATTTGTTATCTCTGTTTACGCAAAATCTTTGAAATCTTGTATTTTTGTGAGTCGTTAGAATAGCACAGCACTGGTTCACAGGTCTATCCCAGACTGAGCTGTCACAGCATAAAGGATCTGTTCTCTAAGAAAGATTTGGAGCAACTCTCATAAACTTTCCATTCATCTTAGTAAAAGACCCTTCATACAAGGTCATCAGATGCCACAGGGAAATAGGAAGCAGTTCCCATAATAGTAAATGTAGCAAATATGTGATAGAGTGGTGAAGACAGTTCTGAAACAGTCCTGGATTTAGACCCTGCTCACTGTTTTCTCTGAGTCATTTTTTCCAAGCTGCTCTTCCGAGACACAATGAAACACTGTGGCACTGGTTGCTTCCTATCCACACAGCATTCCTCAGGACACTTCAAGCAACAGTGCAGAGAAGAAAAAAGGGCTGGGAACAGCATTCTCTGGATAGAACTTAGCAAAGGCAGGAGGTTAAAAATGGGATAAATTCTCCACTGATTCAGTCAGATGGAGGACATGAATAGCTCAGTTCACAAGGACAGGGAATAGCAAGTAGAAAGGAAAGTCAAACAGTAGGTTATAAAGGGAAATTGCTGCCATAAAAGAATATACATAGACAGCCTACATGCCCTAGTTTGGTGAAAGCTACCAACAAGAATTGGTGTCCATAGCAGCCCAGAGAAGCAGAACAGGAAAGCTGGATATGGCAAAATCTCATTTCTGTGAAGGTGAGTGCTTGCTTAGAGCATGTGTATACGTGTATATAAATATATAGAAATATCTGAGATTAAAATTAAAGGCATAACCTCTAACATTATAAATGTGAGTAAATGGCTCAATTGTATCTTGCTAATTCCACTGCTGCTGTGTATTTCACAGGGTCTAGAAAGAAAGAGATATCTGACAGGGAGACACATTACACCTAGTGTACACGTGCCTCTAGTGAAGTGAATTGGTGTTTTTGCTATCTCACTTCACACTCTCTGGTGTAAAGTATAAACACATGCAGGTTTTTGGAAGTGTACAAGCAACAGAAGGGAAGCATGTGTCACTCCACAGAGGTAGAAGTTTGTCTTTCAAATATGTGCTAGGCAACAATACCAGAGATCTGGCTTTGGTTCTTGGTCACAACCCAAATATTATGTCACTGTGGCCAAATAGCTGCATCTCTGCTATTAACAGAAATTCCTGTGCTTTTAACAGAAAGATTTATTTCTCCACACTTCTGCACTCACATTGCTTGTTTGTTTTGCATTTCAAGTACAGTAACAAACACAGTAAAATCTTAGCTAACTCAAATCAGAGCTTCTATGTGCTGAAAAGGCATCAACAGCATTCTGTTCATCTTCCTTCATGGTCCTGTGACAGTGATGCCCCCGTTGCAGTGGACCCCTCAGCAGCCTTCTCTTTTGGCCTACTTGGTGCCTACTCTCAGCTTTCCGTTTCCTCAAATCATGGTCTTCCCATTCTGATAGTTCCTGTTTCATTAACAATCATTCTTCTTCCTCTCCAGGTGTGGACAAACTTTGGCAGCCACCAATGCAATGGTATCTTGAGACCCAGAGAAGATGCAGTGGAAGTGAAGGAGGGAAGGCACTGGGTGCCCTGAGATAGGAGTGCCCTCCTGCAGCAGCTATGTTACACTATGCCTGCCAGCTCTACGGGAGGTGGTGCCGCTGGTCCAGTCCTTTCATCCACTTTCTCACTCTGACTGTAGTGACATTTGGTGTGCTGGCTCCTTTGATTTGCCACCGACTGCTCTACTCTTATTTTTATTTGCGGCGCTGGCACCTGAATCCCATGAGCCAGGAGTTCTTGAGTCAGAACCGGCAGGAGGGTCAGGCTGCCCTCCATTATTTTGAGAAGCTGCAGATACCAAATATCTCCAAGGCCTCCAACAGTGAAACCTTTCGGCCCTTGCTGCTGGTCACCATTATCACTGTGCAGAGGCGGGATGATTTCCACTATGTCTTGCAGGTGGCATCCCGTTTCCACCTCCTCCTCCAGCAATGTGGGACAAATTGCCAGAGCCACCGTGTCCTCGTCTGTAACGTGGAGCCTGACCCCAGTCATCATCAGGATGTCAAGCTGCTGAGCAGCTTCTTTCCTATGGTCAGTCGTGACAAAACTGGGGGGGACCCTGACCCTAGAGTGAACCACTTTGAGAAGGAGAAGCAGGACTATGTCTTCTGCCTTGAGCAGTCGCTCTTGGCATATAACCCAGAATATGTCCTGGTAGTGGAAGATGATGCTGTGCCAGAGGAAGAGATATTCTCTGTCTTGCAGCACCTCTTCTTAGCCCGATTCTCCAAACCATACCTCAGAGATGCACTCTACTTCAAACTTTACCATCCTGAGAGGCTTCAGCAGTATGTCAATCCTGAGCCCATGCGAATCCTCGAGTGGCTGGGTTTGGGAATGTTTCTGGGGCCTGTGCTGAACTGTGTGTACTCCTGGGCAGCTGGGCGCCCGAGCCTGAATTGGCCCATCATCTTGTTCTTTGCTGCCTATAGCATGGCACTGTCAGAGCTGGTGGGACGGCACTACCTGCTGGAGCTGCGCCGGCTGGCCCCTGTGCTGTATAACGTTGTGCCGGCCACAGAGTGCTGCACACCTGCCATGCTGTTCTCTGCTTCTTCTGCCCATCGTGTCTTAGGTTACTTGAAGGGGTTGCAGTGTCGCCAGGGTTTTGCTAAGGACATTGCCCTCTACTCACTGCTGCGCACGAAGGGGGAGAATGCCTACGTGGTGGAACCCAACCTGGTCCGGCATGTGGGGATGTATTCCAGCCTTCGGCTAAACGACAACCCAAAACTGCTGTGATGTCTTCATGCCTTTCTAGACACAAAGCCCTGAAAACCTTGTCACTGAGCTGACACCGCAATCTCAAATGCTGAACACCCTGCCACTCGCACCAAATATCTCCTGCCTCCAAGTGGACAGAGAACAATACTTGAAAAACAAGTTTCTCAAGAAATGAAGCTTATGTACATGCAGACCCTAATCCGTATTTTGAACTAATCACTGTTCAGCATGTATGGCTAGGACTGGATGATCTCAATGGTCTTGCCAACCTTAATGATTCAATCATGCCATATGAGTGGGAAGTGGAGGCTTTCAGATTAGGATGTGGGTCAAGTACTCTCTTTCACCATGATCAATGAAAAGATCTCACACCATTACAAACAGCTGTACTGCCTACTATCCTTTGCATTCATTACAGAATTCTCAGCCTAGGGAAGAAGCAATGCTGGACAAAGTGAATGTGTCTAATTTAAGCTAGTGAGGAGAAAGGGCTCTTATTTGCCCATCCTCACTAAGATCTGATGTCTGACTTTTTCAAAGTTGTGGTTCTAAGCACATCTTTCAAAAGCAGCATAGATGTAATAAGAACTTTCCCTGGAAAATCATGTAGGTTCTGCAAATTTTGCTAATAATTTAATTATTTCTTACTATCTCTCCTTACAGATCCTGTCTGTACCTATACCCTTTCCTGTCCTTTTCCTCAGAGCAGAGGTCATTGGAAACTTGTCTCTGCTGCTTTGTTAAAGGTCAGGTCAGAAGATAGGAATAGGAAAGCAGAATAACAGCCACAGGTGCTCACGGCCACATCACAAATACACAAATTCATAGATGCATTTCCAGAAATTATAAACAATACATAATTACTACCATGTTGGTTGGTATCACAACTACTTGCAGAGGATCTAGGTTGTTAAGAGCTTTTATCAGTTGCTGATTGGACTTGGACATTCAACAGGAATTTACCTTGACTTCCAATCAGCACAGAAGCAAAGGGAAGATTACATCAGGTGCTGCCACAGTGTGGGGTTCCTTATTTCATTTTGGAACTGTAACTTACAGCTGTGTTGAAGTGGTCCACTCACTGCTCCTGGCAGCAGGCAAAGAGGCCATAAGAAACTAAGCTAGCTGTCATATAAAGAAGCAACACATCAAAGTGCCACTCCTCTGCTGACCCATTAACTTAACCTGTTCTGTTTGTCAGACATTTGGGATAGGTACTTTGTACCTTAGCTGTGAGCACAGTTAAATATAAAACCATGGGGATAACAGAGATACCATATAATATCAAGACTGTCACCAAAACGTAACTGAAGAAAAGCCCTCTTGGACTTCTTTGGGCTTTGAATCAAGTTCACATTTAGGTGGAGTTTGCTTGAGCAGTACTTGAAACCAGCTTCCTAACTTCAGAATTAACCAATTAACCAATAGCATTTTCATTGAGTTTTGTTTACGGAGGGTTGTTTATTCCTTTATTCTTGCCAAAGAAAGAACTCTACTTTGAATTTTTCTTTTCTCTAGCAGGTGATTTAAGCCTTCAGCTTTCAACAAGTTTGGCTGTAGGTGGAAAAGGCGTAAAAATCTTGAGAGGTGAATCATTTGCAGACCTCCAGCTGTGTTGTGTCCATAGTGGGTAATGAACACAAGGTACACGTGCTCAACATAGGTTAGCCAATTAGAAATGGCTTCACAGCTTGGGTCAGTGCAGGCTCAGACAGATGAACTTTGCTTGCTTAGTAGATCAGCTAGGACACTTTGATATCTTCTTTGGAAATCAGATGTGAATAAAGCTTGCTTGTGGATTCCATATCATTCCAAAGGCCAAACACCTCTTCTGCCAGAGGACACAGAAAAGATTGCACAGGCAGAACTCTTACGTTCATTCTTAGCTGCCGAAAACCCCAAAGATATCAAAATGGTCACACAGAACCACAAGTGGCAGGTGGGCAAGCCTATTCTTGGGCTTTATGATAACAAGGTAAGATGGCAGGATGTGAGTGTCACTTTCTATTTATTCCACTAAGTGCCTGCACCTGCAAGTACAACTTGTTTGCTTATGTTTCTTCAGCTTTGAATGTTTCAGTGTGGTATGCCTTCTCTTCACTCTTTTTTTTTCAGCTTTGTACTGTACAAATCCAGAACAACATCCTGTTATTTTCATGAGGGTTCACTCATGCTTGCAGTGAAAATCTCACTGTAAGCTATAATTTGGATATTAGGAAAAACTTTTTCTCTAGAAGAGTGATCAGGTGCTGGAACAGGCAGCCAAAAGTGTTGTTCGAGTCACTGTCCCTGGAGGTGTTCAAGAAATATTTACATGTTGTACTGAGGGATGTGGTTTAGTGGGAAATATTGGTGACAGGTTGATAAATCTTGGAGGTCTTTTCCAACCTTCATGATTCTATGGCTCTATAATTCTATAATAAGTGGGATAGAGAAAGAAAAAATGAAAGAAGGAAAAGGAATTAAGAAACTTCAGATAAGAATGCAACTAACTATATGGAGTCAATAAATGTTTTGATGTGGGAAATTATGTATCAGTTTGTCTCCATGTTATTTTCCTTTTATTTTGCCCTGTATTACTCAGTTGTTCTAGTAGTCAGTAATTTGACTAAGCTTTATATCTGAAAACTGAGAACATGAACTTCAGGCATCCCTCTAAAACTAGAAAGCCACTTACAGTGCAACAGCCAAGGGAGTTTGGCTAGGAGAAAACAGCAAACAGCATTTGGAGGGGCAACAACTTCAACCTGCGAGTGAAAGAGCTCCTGATAAGCCACTTAAGTGCCCTATTCACATTTACAATGGAGGTGGTTCTTTCACTGAGCCAGCTGGGAGCTTTTCCCGAGTTATTCAGGTACTTAGTGCCCATCATGATGTTGTGACATCACAGACAAGCATATATTCTGCGCTTTGGAACTCTGAAAATGACTTCTTTGTGTGTGTGTGTGTGCCACATGTTGTAAAAGAAATGACAATTTGGAGAACCATACTTCTTCATCTTTGGAAGGGAAAAAAAAAAGAAAAAAAGAAAAAAAAAAGGTTACAGTTTACAGTTCATTCCAAATTCCTGCAGGATTTTATTCCACAGTTTGGGCTACAAGTGCATTTTCAAACATCGAAGTCTTTTATTTCTCTTCCGCATAAGGAAAGTGCAGCTGAGTTGTCATATCTTAAGCTATGTAAGGTCAAACATCTCCTTGAACACAGCCTTGAGGTTGTTCTGACTCACATTCAAAAAATCAGACCAAACATTTTTGAAATAATATGGATTTTGTTGGATGTTGGTTCATCCTCAGTAGTTCAGGGCTGTTTTTCAATGCAGCAATTATTGCTTGCACTGGAGGATTCCTGCTTCATGGGACAGGCAGCAGGACTCAAAATTCAGGGAAAATTACTCAATTAAACAAAAAACTACCTCTGTTTCCAAAGCATATCCAACATAAGTAGAAAAGCATGATTCCTGCAAAAAACAAAGTATAAATTGATAGGACTCTATTAGAAGCCCAAGAGGTTTTTCTAACCAAAACAGGTATCACTATCTTAGTGAGAAAATACTGCATTTGAAGGGAGAAGGCTAAAGACTTTCTCAGTCGTGATGAGCTGCAAATGGCCAGACTGGTTATTTCAACAGCAATTTGTCTGCACACAGGGTGCTTCTGTTTAAAATATAGGACTTTACTTCTTTTTTTTTCCTGAAGATATTTACAAGCAAGTTTTCTTAAAAATAAATAAATAAATAAACTGCATTTGTATCAAAACTGTTGTCTCTTTTGTCTTTGTGTCACTATTAGTTAGTTAGTTTTCCTGACTGGCAGATCCATCTCCTTCAATACTAAACTTGACTGAAGATACTTCTCTGATCACTTTTTTCATCTGCATGAATTGCCACTGAATCCTTGGGTAGCACCAATTTAGAAAGGGACTCTTAAGGTCTCCACACCAGCTTTATAGATGTTATATCCAAATTCACCAGGTGTTAGGGTCGAACATATGGTTCCGAATCATCCTCAGTATACCTGCCAATAATGCGTATAGCATTACGTGTCTGTTGAATGTGCTTCTCCATGTGTGTCAGTTGCTAGAATACCTTAATTTCCCCACACTACCTTCTGCCATGACAGGTCATGCTTTGAGAGAATTCTCCTGACTGGCCAGTTGATCTGTGCACCTACAGGCAAAAAGACAGCAAAACCAGTCCATTTCCAAGACCTCATCCTGTGTGGCAAGCTATAAATGCCACATTCCCAGCTGCGTAACTACTTCTGATATTAAGTATTGATGAAAAAAATAATGTTGTATTGTCTTGCACTGTTGGTGACTCTCTGGCCAAATATGAATTCTTTAGTGTCTATTTGCTTTTATAGTTTCTGCCATAATGTGCAGTGTTCTCCCTGCACTATGGAAAACACAATTACAATGGTATTTTCAACAAATGAGACCACTTCAGACATCTGCTGTAGTCTGTATTTTGCAAACTTAATGCTAACATTAGCATGTAGCACCTAAATGTGCTTTTTTGCAACTGCACTGCTTAGATAAAGTGGTAATTAACAGATAAGTGTTCCAGTCTAGCAGCAAGTTATTTACTTAACTTTCTTTTTAAAAGCAAAACGTCAGCAGAAAGGCACAGAAACCAGTGCCATTACTGCATTTATCTTCCTGTCCTACACAACACCAGCAGAAGACCCGTAACAGTTATTTTGCACAGCCCAGAAATGTCACCACTGGCAGTCTGATTTGAAGTTGTATCCCCATTTGCTGTCCCCAGAATAGAAATGGCTGTGAACATTTGGGCTTTGATAACAGCCTAGATATGCACCTGCCTATATTTCACTCTGAGCCATGATGTTTGTTGCAGCCCAGCTTTAAGCCAAAAGACAGAAGAGCAAACAGGTCCCCCTGGCCTGAATGAAGTCCTGCACCAGCCCTGCCCGTCACCCTCCACATACAACGTGCCTGCAAACACAGATGAGTACTGTGCAACTTGAAATACAGGTGATTTCTTTCAGTGGGGTTAAAGGACAGGTTTTCTGCAGTGGGGGCTAGGAGCGTAGGTGAATGAGGAAAACAAATCACTTAATAAACAATACCTCTGATTAGATAGGGATGAACAAGCTGGACTTTGAGACAGTTAGGTAAGACTGTAGAGTACAGAAAACAGGAAACATCCAGCACGAGGCAGAGAGGTGAAGAGGAGGCAGACTCCACTCAGCTCATCTGTTCTGATTAGACTTTAACCTCATCACGCAGGCAGCACTCTCCCGGGGCACTCAGATGCAGGTGTTTTTCATGTGGATGCATATTCAACTCAGATATTCTTCTGAGTTTCAGCAGTTCTTTCCACCTCATTTCAAACCTTTTCATAGCTCTGACCACGTACACAAGTTTTGATAAAATTCAGACTATGTCATTTCCAAAAGTGCAGAGGGAAGCTTTAAGTTAGTTTTGTTGTTGATCCTTTGCTTGATGGCCAGTTATGTAATCTCTGAAACTTCTACATCCAGTTCTTTCTTTTCCTGAGTATTTTTCAGGTGCAGTACAATTTGTCTCTTGTCTGTCTTCATGTTTACTCATTTTCATTTTAAAGGCATACTAATATCAGGCGAAAATCAACATCAGAATGATACTGCTGGACACACAGAAAAACACAGTCAGCAACCAGAAGAACTGTAAGCAATTCTAACCTTTTTTATGTGATGTCTTTAAGCCAGGCTTTCCATGCATTTTGAAGTACTTCATCCAGCAACAGTCTTCACTCAGAACATCAGTGCAGAAGTGACAGAGCCTCTGCAAGCAAGGATATTACAAGCATATTGCAAGGACAGCTATTAGATTGACTTCTACTGCAGAAATCCACTGCCTGCAAATAATGCATTTGGCACTGTCAAAAGCAAAACCACAAAATAAAACATAGATAATAGCTTCAGCCTCCTATAAAGAAAGATTCTGGTGGTCTTTAAAAAATAATTTAATATGCAGAATACTTATGTCAACTTTTATATGGTAACTTCAGGTAAAGAATCAACATTGGCAGAACATTCAAGCCATTCAAACACAAAATTCACTTCTGCTATGCCACGTTGGTGAGAAAGAAATATCACAGGATATCCCAAGTTGGAAGGAACCTATGAGGATCACTGAATTCAACTCCAGAGTCCACACAGGACCACACAGGACCTCCTGTGCTGTGATGTATACTTTGAAGTAACTGCCCACAGCCACAAATTCAATCTTTTTTGAAGCAGTTGTAGCCCTCTACCAGGGTATTGACACAGATATATATCTATAGCCCCATAGCTGCATTATGTTACTCTGAAAAAGGCTTAAACTAACAAACACACAAAAACAAAATTCCAAAACAAGTTAGGTGAC